ACGTTAGAATTAGAGAGCACTCAGCTGCCACTATAGGCTATCCCCGTCTGGCCTCTTGGCTGTACGGCTGTACACTGTGATAGATGCGAATGCCACCCAGATTTTTATGGAACTATGGTTCTGGGGAGCTTTGAAACAAAACTTGGAGGACGCTTAAGATTCGCCTTTAAAAGAGTAGAACGCGACAACGAAACATATAAACATTTAAACTCCCTCTCGTTCCCAAGCCGTGGGAGTCTGGCTCGCAACGGAAGGGTCGTGGGTTCCAATCCCGCCTAAAATTCTGCGAATATTAATTACTTTATAAAGTGAAATCGTTAGAGGCATGCGGTGACCTTTATTTCGCATTACATGTCATGTTTTTTTTTTTATGATAAGACTGTGATGGCGCATGCGAGCTGGTGTAGATTTACCATTTTTTTTTAACCTCCTAGAAGAACCAAGAGTGTAAGGGACAGGAAAAGGACAGGACAGGAATCACTTTTATTCCACGGGTGACGTCACGTTCCACGTGAGCGTCGTGAGTTGTTTGAAACTCCCGCGCATTCGCTTTCGCGTTAAAACTAGACCTTGAAATATATGAAGGCTTCATGATTAAATTGCACGGGTTGAACGCCTGTGTTTGCGCCCCCTTTTTCAGGCAGCTTTACCAGCCAAACCTCAGTCATTCACCATTGTCGCCCGGCTTCTTCGAATTTTTAATATTTTTATTTTATATTTTATTTTATGCCTATTTTGATAATGTATGTGTCTATTCTAATATTTATGTCTATTCGAATAAATTTCAGTTGAAGGTTACGCCCTGTCCTGTGTGCCTCCCATTTTCTTGTCCTCGTTTTCTTCTTTTTTTTTCTTTTCGCCTATATCTTTATTATAGGTATAAAGTATAGGTGGCTAATCGTCCTGACAAGTTGGATAATTAACTAAAGTATGCTAATTACCTTTTAATTAGTGCAAATAAACATACGTATTTTTATTGAAGAGAGTCATCGAAAACCACTAAATAAGTAAATTTCAGAAAAATTTTGGGCGTGTGGGGAGCGCAGTAGTGGGGTAAAACTTACCACGTCGTGCGACAGGCACAATACTGGCGCCGTGAAAACGCGGATGATAAGAGACGGAAAAACCGCGCAGCTAGGCGCGTTTTCGTACCACTAGCCTTTGGGCCTGTTGCAGAACATGGTAACTTTAGCGTATCGCCGCGATTCCCACGGGCCCTAAACCTTTCTAAAAAATTAGTTATTTATTGGTTTTCGATGACGCTCATCAAGTGTTCGATTGGACCGATATCGTTATATTCAATAATGAAAAAGGTAATCGAGAAACTTTAGTTAATTAACCGACTTATCGGGACGACTATCCCTCTATGTTATGCCCCCCCCCCCCCCCTTTGGCCGTATAACTGACCTGCATAGACCGCAACCGCGGTGTAACTTCCACGGCTTTTATTTTTTTAATTGGTAAATGTTAAAAAGACAATGTATACGGTATATGCTCTATATTTACATTATTGTTTGCTTAAAAGCGTTTTGTTGTTGTTTGCAGGGAAAATTGATTAGAATTGAGCCATCAACTTAGTTGTGGCCGAAACGAATGGACGCGTGTGAAATACAAGGTGAAGCGCGAATGAAAATATTTACCAATCTCTCAGAAAAGATGACAGACCAGTGGAGCGGAGCAGACGATAAAGCATTTCTAACAGGCATAACTGTGCTTAGCCAAAAGGAGCCAGAGTGAAAATTTCCGAGTGCATAATAATGTAATAAAATCTTTTTTTTTCTTTTTTCTTTCTTTAATTAGACCTTTGGCGCAACATTTGCATGCTGGCTTGATATCGCCTTGTTCGGGTTTTCGTTTTGTTGATTACATAGCTCATGATCTGTGTAAAAATAATCTCTCTCGCGGTCGTTCATCCCAAGGTTTTAATAAAATCGCCAAGCAACGCGTTGAAAGCAGTATTCTCAACTTTCACGGTCTATAGGGGGCGCATTAGTTCCTATCAAAGTGGCTGCCATCTGGATGATCGTCCTAGTACAGCGCAGCACGAGGTTGATCTGCGACGCCTAAGTAATTCTGATTTTGTATGAGCCTTACCTCATAGTTCCACGTCAGGAAAGTCTAAGCGAGCACTTTCATACGGAAGTCCATCATATTCAGGAGTTAAGCGCGAAACACATGTACGACGAAACCGTCCGATCCGACGATCCGATTGCGCAATACGACGGTCGGAGGCGAGGGTTTTCAACGCTCTCCGATGCTACGAAAACCCTCGCCCCCCAAGGTCATTCCTGCAGTCCGCACGTCGGATCGGAAGGTTTCGTCGTACATGTGTTTCGCGCGTTAGGGAGTGCGATTCTCACACCGCGGTACCACCATCGCTGAAAGTTGCGAGTAATAAGAGGCAAACGTAGTATATGTGTGAAAACACCCATTAATTCAATTAAAAATGTTTGTTTTATTTGTCGCTATAATAGGTCATCTCGACTGGCTGACATTTAGCACGGTGTTTTCTGTTTGGCAAACCAAATTACGAGAGCCGCCATTTTTTTTTTTCTTTTCAGCATTCCGGGATTTTAAGGAGTTCTTTGAAGGAGTGAGCCCCGTTCATTGGAACCATTTGAAACTCGGATATTTTGACCCCGCCTACATGGCTCGCGCTCTCGTCGCGTTAATGACCACTGTGGAGGACCTCGATCGCTGCTGCGCGCCTCCCTTAATTTTGCAGCAGACATTTCACACCATCAAATCTGTTTTTCTCGGCAAGAACAAATAGGAATGTCCATGGGTATGCTGCCATTACGTCACGTGGTACGTGCAGCCATGCAATAACGGCCTTTACGCGTACTTACGCCCATCACAGTAAGTGCGTCCGACGGGAGCATATTACCGGGCAGCAAAAGTTTCGTGTTCCTCTCTTTTTTGTTTTGTTTGTTTGTTTGTTTGTTTTGTCGAGGCGAAAGCAGTAAAGGCGACCTCGCACATGAACGCGCACAAAGATACCAAGAAATAAGGCGCTCTCCAACACCACTCCAAATTCACCAGCGATCCGCGCCCCGGCAGGCTGCTTCTCACCTTTGGTTTCGTGGAAGAGGTGCCAAGTGTTCTTGACGGCAATCATTAAAAGCAACCTCTATTACGGGAAAAGATGATGATAGTGCCAAGGGGGCTCCGCCATTCGTGTGTTTCGTTCGCAGACAGCCGGTTTATACATAACTGGGCCACGGCTGACTGGAGAGCTTGCTTCACCGCAGAGGTCCTCGGGAGTGCTCAAGCATAAAAAAGGTGTTGATCACTCGTACGTGCCAGACAATGTTTAGATAATGGTTTCGTCTTCGTGGAAGAAATATTTGGATTGTAATGTGTTTCGTCGTGTGCTTGCTTCAGATCGGATGAACCTCAGGAATGAGATTTTGGATGATATCCTCAATTAGGGGCGTCGGAAGGCGGGAAATGATGATGTGCCTGTGTGTGTGTGAGGGAGGGGGGGGGGGGGTACTTATCTTTTTCTCCGCTTCTGCTGCCACCAGCTGTTCCGACGTCACTGTTATCAACTAAATATTCCACTCAAATAGAGTCTTCTGCGAAAACGCGCGTCTGCGCCCCTATACTATAGCGTTTCTTTTATTTGAGACATTATGCCAGATCGTCGTACAGTAATAAACAACGTCTTTATTGAATAAATGCTCTGACCGTCACACGTAGCATGTTGCAGACAGAACACGTATGTACCACCTTCGCATCAAGGTAGCCAAATACGAAAATTTGCGTCATGCGAGAGAAAACAAAGTTGGTCAAAAGCGAGCAGTGTTTAGATCTACAAACCGTCAGGAACCAAATCAATTAAAAATGCGCAAAGAAAGCACTTCGTACATCTTCGAACGCCTACGCCCGTTTTTAACAATAAACTTTGGAAATAACATCTTTGGATGCGGTATAAGATGTGACGCCGGTGACTGTACAGCACTAGAGTTTTTTATTATCTTGGTGCTGTTATTGTTGAAGCGATCGGTTTGCATTAACAGAGAAGTTTGAATATTCACTGCTTTCTGCTGCGTTGGTTTCGTCGGCAACCGAATTGCGTAAGCTATGAATATAGGGTTAGACAAACCATCGGCAATTGGGTCATCATGATACCAAACGTTACCTTAATTACCTTACATCTTAGTTTCTGTTTTCCCCATAAGTATTATCCCGCTTCGCGATATATACAAACGCATACTTAATTGCGTGTGGTGCATAAGTCCAGAGCGTTATACACTAATAGTAAAGCACGAGATAGCTGAACGGAGCCAAGCTTGCAAATAATTTGGAAGAACCTCATCTTGAACCATGCAGGTATTTTCTGTACATCGCGGATAAAGTCATTCAGAGTGTTAACTTCATCGTAAGATGAAGTTAACACTTTGATATATATATATATATATATATATATATATATATATATATATATATATATATATATATGTCTTAACTCGGGAAGGCGCCTCCGTATCATGGAACCGATATTGAAACAATCATAACTATTTACAAGCGATTAATTCTCCAAACAAAGCGAAACAGTTCGAACCTTGAGAAAGTTTTGAGAGAAACAAAAGGAAAAAGAAAAGGCGGCATTATCCGTGACTGACACCCACCATCGACACGTATGGTGTATAAATCAGTGGTTCCAACTAGAGTCACTATAGTGGGTAACAGGTGAAGAGTGACGTGGAAGTTCCTCCCACTTTACTCTAACCTGTCGCCGACTATTAATAAGTATTCAAGAACTCAGAATAACTCGCCGTCATTTTGTCTCTAAACTGACACCAAAATATTGTCCGAACACTCGAAGCTCACAACAATGAAGACAGAGGGGCCAGTGGCACACGGCAAGAATCAATGCTGCAACCTGCTAAAGGACCACTATAGCACGTGGTCCTGATTCGAGCGAGGCGAAAGAGGAGTCTCAAGACAGGGTTCCGTCGTCATGTCGTTGGTGGGCCAAGTTACCGAGCACAAAACTAGGACTTTTTGAGGCCGAGCTTGCTATCCTTCGCGCCTAGATAGCAGGAGCAAGCGACTGGCATTCTGAAGGTGTCCATGTGAATGCCTTCTTGTCGCGTCCACACTACCAGCCTGTGCAGGTTGTACTTCTGCACGCAGCGGGAGGACGTTGCCACGTTACTGCAAGTCATACCGGGATTTCTGTAACAAAGGACACAGAGGAACGTCGTTAGACGCTGCCGAACTTCCAAAAAGGTATACATTGGGCGCCGTACACTTATACTGTATATGCATATACATATACATTTTTTTTTTTTTAAGCTTTACAGATTTGTTTAAAAAAAACCGTGAAAGTTACACTTATGCGGTTTGTACAGGTCCGTTTTACGGCCCGGTGGGACATTATGGGGTGGCTAATTTTTGCGATAAGTCGGCTAATTAAATAAAGTTCGTTAACTAACGTTTTAATTAGTGAAAATATACATATGGTTCTAATTACAAACTTACTGAGCGTCCATCGAAAACCACTAACTCCACTCTTTTTAGAACGACTTGAAGCTCGTGGGAAACTCGGGGGCGAGCCAAAGTTACCGTTCTAAGAAGAGTTGATTTATTGATATTCGATGACGCTCAGTACGTTTGTAATTGGAACCATATGTATATTTTCACTAATTAAAACGTTAATTAAGGAAGTTTAGTGAATTATCTGACTTATCGCAAAGATTAGTCACCCACATAATGTCCATCTGGCCGTATAAATCACCTGCGCAAACCGTATAAGTGTAACCTTCACGGCTTTTTTTAAACAAATCCGTAAAGCAAAAAAAAAATAAAAATAAAAAATAAAAAAAGAAACACACACTTTGTATATACCGGGTGTTTTATTTTAGTTCGAACAGATTTATTACAAAAAGCCAGTAAAGGATGCACTAATAGAGTTTAGGGAGGTGAGCTATATACGGCCAGGGGGACATTATGAGGGTGGCTAATCTTTGCGATAAGTCGGGTAATTAACTAAACTTCCTTAGCTACCTTTTTAATTAGTAAAAATAATCATATGGTTTCAATTAGAAACTTGTTGAGCGTCGTCAGAAACCACTATATCAGTCAATTTTAGAACGACTTGAAGCACGTGGAAAACTTGGGGGCGCACCAAAGGTACCACTCGTGCAGCAGGCGCAAAGCTGTAGCCGTGACAAAAAGCGGATGATTAGATAATCAAGCATGAGAAGCGTAAAAAATTAATATATATATATATATATATATATATATATATATATATATATATATATATAGTCACGCTTTATTAAGAAAAGGATGGCGCAACGGCCCGAAAAAGAAATATATATTTATATATATTTTTTTACATTACAAAATTGTTTTGGAGTTGAGGCAAAAGGAAACAGCAGAGCTCGCCTCACTAGGCCTCTTGCACGTGTGAGGGCGGTATTCAAAGTGAATGACCAGAAGGAGTTCCGGCCAAGAGTAACACTCTCGACGGCGTAAAATTAACAATGCGGAAATATTCTACGAGCTCGCCTTCAGCACCCACTAAAGAGGAAGGGATTTCGCTTGCACGCTGCGTGATCGTATCGTACCAATGCTTTGCTCCTTGTTCTTGCGGAGAAAACCAATTTAGGCGATGCGAAATGTATGGTAAAGACTCCAGAAGGTACGCGCGTAGCAGCAGGTACTTCACAATGGCCGCTGATGTGATGCTATTGCGAGACATGCATACCTGTTAACATATAAGCAGTTCTGCTGAGCTTCCTGTTTGCTCTAATGGCAAAGTTAAATATATATATATTTTTTTGTACTCGTTTTTCTACGGTTTTAGGTCCCGCACCTCGGACACCCCTGCACTCTCAGAAATAAGGGGTGTAGTACTTGCACCCTTTGTCCCATATAATACACCCCAAAACTTCAGTTCGGCGTACAGCGCACTGACGTCGAACCGAAGGTACCAACTTTCACGAGCGCCTTGATAGCCGAATTGTACAACTCATTAAAATAGCGAATGTGCGTCTTACTAGGAAGTTTTCGTAGATCGTTTCCGCCGTCCCGCCACGCTCTCCGCAACCCGCTACGATAACCGGAACTCTACAGTCAGGGCTACCGGCGCGCAGGCGCAGCAGCGGCTTTTTCGTTGCTTAGGGGTTAGCGGAGGGGGAAACGCGGTCTGCGGAAACTCCCTATTTTCTACAAAGAATTAATCGGGGTTCTGTTGGCCCTGCTGCAAAACTCCATTGTTTTGTTTTTGTAGTCGTTGATACGTATCTACTTTAGCTGTTTAATAAGTTATATCGCACCGGTTATCAAGCTCCTCGTAAAAGTTGGGACCTTCCATTCGACGGCGGTGCGCTGTAGCTCGAACTTTAGTTTTTGGGTGCATTATATGGGACAAATGAGTGTAAGACTATGCCCCTTTTTTGCAGAGTGTGTTATATATATATATATATATATATATATATATATATATATATATATATATATATATATATATATATATATATATATATATATAAGTGAGAAAAACCCAGAAGAACTGGTACTGAAAACCTTCGTGCAATTCAGTTCTGCGAAGTCATCGTCTGTCGGACTGTTTCAGTGCGTCGGTGTCATGTTGCCCTTCTTATCCGATCGGAGCACCACATGATGGCGTCAAGCAGGCAAATGGGAGAACCGGAAACCGTCAACTTTGAGTGCGCCAGCCCCTCTAACTCTTCCCAATGAGCGACCGCAGCCGAGTGTTCGCCTAAGCTACTAATTGCGGAAAAGAATGATGATGATTGCAAATTTTCTTCACATTGTCACTCTGCTCGACTGCCTCATGTCTCAAAACTAGAAGCATTTTTTACTGTAAAAGTTTGTGCCTGAGTGCTCGGTGCGTATTTTCTATCCTCAACAGTTCGAGGAGACCCGACAAGCACGTTTTCGTCTGCTTGGAACACCTTACGTTGTGTGTTAGGAATATATTTTGTTCCACCCTGCCTCCCAGTGAACTTGTTTACCAGGCCACGGACAAATCTTCCAGTTAGCGGTCCTGTCAAAACGTCATATTTTTGTTTCACTCTCGTTGGGCTTGTAGTATCCTGTCAAATTTGATGTTAGAATGCACCTTTTTGTCGTCTCACAAGGTTCGTTGGTCGCCTCTCACAAACTTTGTATCAATGGCTCTAAGCTAAGCAACTTGGGATTGCCCTCCTGCTAGTGCTAAGTATGCATTGAATTACGCATATGCATTAATAAATATGCATTGAATCTTCTCCAATAAGCATGGTTAAAAAGTGAAAACTAATAGTTTCAATCCAAAAAAAAGTATCTCCTTTGGATTGCAAGCAGTCGACACTGTATCAATGAAATGTTTTTTTTTTCTTTTTTGAAGGAACTATAGAACTACAATAGATACGTTACACTTAGAGTATCGGCACTCCATTCCACAATTCTCTTGTGGGCGGCGCCCTTTTGGTGCTTAGCAGCGATTCCAAAATGCAACTTTCTGAGCTTTTTATACGATATCAGGAGGACGCTCTGGCGTTATCATATTTTTCATGTCGCGGATTGTTTTACCATTTTTGGAGGACTGAAAATCCTTTCCTGCAACTTCAGATGAAGCTTCATATAAAAGGCGACAACGACTTTAAAACACCAACAGGGCCGAAGGGTCGGTACTCTGAAGCCTTGTTTAGTGGATAAGGGGAACCTCGTATACTCACGCGCAGACTTCGGTGCGCACCATCTGCTGGAAGGCGCCTCTTCCGTGTGGGTTGGCCATGTTCACGACCACCTTCCAGTAGCCGTCCACGGTCATGGCCCTGAGCGGCTTGGCGTGCTGCACGAGCGACGGACACGCGTACATCTTGCCGTCGTCCCGCAGCTGTTCCGTCACTGTCCCGTTGGGACTGGACTCGGCCGCCAGGCTGCCCGTGGCGTTCGAGTCCTTCTCCGAAGAGAGTCTGGAGCCGCCGTCCAGGAACAAGGCGTCGACGGACGCCGCTCCGTTGGGTGTCTCGGGCAACAGCCGATGCATCGAACCATGCTCCAGGTCCACGGCGATGTGGAGTGCGGCTCTGCGTTGAAGTCCAGACAAAACACAATTTGGTTGCATCGGCGAACATTTCACCTATCTAAAGTACGTGGGATAGGCACGTCATGTGGTCTCTAATTCGTTATATGAGCTCAAAGTTTGTGTGTATGATTTGAAAATACTCTGCTATTCGCATTTTCTTTAGTACACTCACAGTAGAACATTAGATATTTCTTGTGGAGGTTTGCAGAGTGCTGCAAGACATTAGGGTTGTTTCATTACAACGTTCACGATTGTTTCTATTTCTCTCTATTTTTCATTTCGTGATACAAGGTCGACACAGCGTTTCCACGTTTTTTTTTTTTTTTTTTGGCTTGGTATTTAATTTATTTCCCAGATGTTTTTCTTTGTCTTATTTGTATCACACCGCCAAACATCACGAAAAAAAAACAAAAAAAAAACGACAGAGGTCCCGGGTTTGATACCCGGACCAGGCGGATTTTTTCGGTCGCTCACCAGTCACCTAGCTGTGTTTGGAGATTTATGTTTGTCCTTTGTCCCTCTTGTTCCCCTTCTCCAGGGATTATTTTCATCATTCTTGTCCAGCTCGCTTGCACCTTTGCATTTAATTGCATTATAATTACAGAGAAGGTTGATTTATTGCCCCATTTCCAGCGTGATTGTATGTCTACAAGTGAAGAACAGAGGTCACGTCATAGGCTCATGCATGTTGCTTAGTTTCATGCCTGCTTCTCTTCCTAGTATGTTTCGCAGCGAAATAATTTCGATTTTGAATTATTTATACGCGCAGAGCTTGGAAGAAGCTGACACCTAGAATATAACGCTGCATTATAATGCATTGAAATATTTTAGAAACTGGCAGCGTTAATAAGCCGCCCAATGCCCTCAAAGTTTCTTTCGTGAGAATGAGAAAAATAAGACTTTCAAGGAATAAAAACCCAGAAGTACTCGATTCCAAATTTTCAGCAATTTTTCAAAACCTTTTTTTTTTTAAAGATGAGATTGCGCTCTGCTTTTCGCAATAAAATTGAAATAAAATGCATTCACTGATTAACAACTTAAAAAGTTGTCTGACTTGCAAGTTTTACTCTGAGAACTTGCACTGGAAGCCGCCTCAGTATAAGCCTGTTAGGATCATAGGTATTCCAGCGTCACCACCCAAACGAAAATTGCCAAGTCGCTGGGTTATGGACATGACATTTGATATTTCGCAGAAAAGCTACTGCAAATACTCAGACGGTATCTGATTGATTATAGACAATTCCAATAATCGACTTCTGCTCGCCGAAGGCGATTCTGCCATCCCAATAATATTCTGTCATTCCAATAATATTCGAATAGTAACGCACAGAAGGCAATTCGTAGGCCATTTCGATAATAATAAAAATGGACGTAGACTATTCCAATAATAATGAAATGGTTATAGACCATTTCAATATTCGCCTTCTGCGCGCCGAGGGTGATCCTGCCATTACAATAGTATTGGAATGGCAGCCCGTAAACGGCGATTGTTGTAATGGTTATCGACAATTTCCATAACCTTGGAATGGTTATAGACGATTTCGATATTCGCCTCAAATAAGCAGCAATGTTTGCTTCTTTTTTTTCTGGGGGGAAGGGGGGAGAAGGCATCTTGGTGTTTATTGAAGCTGCACTGCATTTAAGAAATATCGGACACCCTGCAAGCTTCCACAGTTCAGTGACGCGTCATTTTTAGCCTAGGGGCCCTTAGTTCGACACTTGGCGAAAACGTCGGCGAGAAATCTGGCGGCCGCGATTGGCCAACGCCACACTTGACCTCGGCGCCGGCCAATCAGAGCCGCCGAATTTCTCGCCGACTTTTCCGCCAAGTGTCCAGATTAGGGCCCCAGGTCGCTATACATCGGCCGCAGTAGTCGACGCTACAAGCTAATGGAATCGGAATCAGTGAAGCAGCGCCAAAAGCGCGAGTCATTGGGCCTTTTATGTTTATGATTGGTTCAGCGATGAGAGAACACGTACAGAAACATGACGAACACCATGATGGTGCGTTTTTGACGCTCTCTGATTGGTCCCGTTAGTTCGTACCGTCTTAATGGTGAAACATAGTATAGGGAGGTGCTCCCCGTAGTCCGTTTCATTTTGTTCGCTGTTTGTTCGGGCAATAATGTTATGTTCACACTACGGACGCAACGCGCCTATCTTCCATAGCACACGCAAACGTAAGCGCAAGAAGCGAAACGAGTTCGTTCAGATCACGATTGTTTGTAGTCTGAACGAAATCATTCCGCTTCTTGCTCTAACGTTTGCTCGGCGCGTTGCGTCCGTAGTGTAAACATAGCATAACACGTGTAACCACGAGAGTTGGGAATTGTGACGACGTTTCGCGACCCCGGAAAAAAATGGACAGGGGAGACAAAAGACGCAGGATCGTCGGGAGTCGGTCAATGGACAGCTATCGCGCTACCGTATTGATAAAGGGCCATCCTCACGGAACACGACTGCTTCCGTCCTTTGAGGGACACGATTTCGCGTCCCACGCGGGGCCCTGCTTCTTCCTTCCGATGGTGCTTCACGCGCGGTATGTTACCAGCCCGGTGGCCGCGGGCCCGGAAGCGGACGCTACGACTCGCGATCCGAAAAGGGACGGTTCCGCCTGAGGACCGTTCCAGCAGCCCCGGCGTTGTTTCGTGTCACCGTGACGCTGTGTTTGGTGCTCCGTTATGCGTGGCCGCTGCGGTATGCAACCTGCTCTCCGCCGCCGGATGCATCCAAGTGCGCCGTTTCGCAATCCATTGCGCTCCTCCGCTCACGAGCGGCGGCGGCAGAGAAAGTGGCAAGCGAAAGCGTTCCCTCCTCGGTGGACTGCCGCGTGAATCCTTGAAATTCTCAGACGGGCTTCCTACAATACTCCGTTCCACGTTCGGGAGCTTTAGTAGATCGTTCCGATGACTCAGATAACGATGCCCGGCATTCCGCCGACGGCTCGGAGCATGCTCCGTATCGTTATCGGGTATCCACGGTACGATCCGATGGAGGCAACCAAGTGGCGCCAAAAGCGCACTCTTACGGCTCTCGAATTGTCTGCATGCGGAGTGCAAGTTCGTCTGCTTCTTGCTCAAGGGTTGAAATCATGTCAGAATGCCGAGCTCTTATTGGCTGATTTTTTTTTTTTTTTTAAAGAAGAAAATAGTAGGTAGGCCGAGGCATCTGGCATCGAGGTCTACCCACTATCTTTCCAATCAAAGCCAATAAGAACTCGGCGTCGTTCTGACGTCACCGCATCTCCTGCGCGAGAAGCAGACGGCTAGGGTCATAGCAGAGAGGGGAAAAGAGAAAAAAAAATGCACTCCCCCTCTCACCCCGGATGTCCTCCGCTCCGCCGAGTGGGCTGTAGTTAGCGTCCGGGCTGGCGTGCAAACTTTGTTTAAAATCGCGTCTTTTTGGAACTTTCAAGCGCAGATGCGCAGATTTTGATATGCCAGTTGTCGTGTAATATTATGCTAGATAAAAAGACTCACAGGGTCTAATTGCGCTGTTACCTGCATGCAAATAAAAAAATAAAAAAGGTCTTTTTGGCGAAAAGTAAATCCAGTTGCTGTACCTTTTTTACTATACAAAAGTTCGTACTGGTGTAGGCTTTTAGCGACCATGAGTGGAAGTCTGAAATAATAAATAAAACGTGCTCTCCTGCGGCAATACAAGCAGTAGTTGAGGGTAGTACTGCCGGCTGACTGAACTGCTATTTAAGTAACGGAAAAAAGATATGCTAGTTGATCATTTAGCAAAATAAAACAACAGAGAGCTATAGGCTGATTTTGGAGTAGCTACAGCTATTCTAAGAACGCGAACCGCTTCATAACGGCAGCCACGAGCGAGAGTTCGATGTTCGGTAGAGCCCGCCGATACAGCCCAAAGATGGAGAACGGCAACCTCTCGGTTTGTCGTCTGCTAGCGGAGTCGGGCGCGTGCCCTCTCTCTCGTTTTACCCCGCCGAACCCGCTGAACTTCCCGGATATGTGGAGAGGGCGCTGCGGTCGAACAAAATGGTGCCGCCCAGAGAGCGCTAAATGGAATGGTCTATAGGTATGCAATCACCAACTAAAGCAACCGCGAAAAAAAAAATAAAAACACGGGATTGCGGCACATATACTGTGCGTGATTAGTTTGGTGGCTGATGGCAAACGTGCAAATGAAATGAGGGCCGTGGCGATGCAGTCTTGGCGCAGCTTGATTGAGTCCATCGTACCGTAGTGTCGGCTGCTGTTGGACGTAAGCCCACATTGGTTCCCCAAGATCCCAGATCTCCTCGAGATCCCAGATTTCCCTGTGATCCCAGATTTCCCCCCCAAAAAAAATATTTTTAAATTTTTTGTTTATTTGTTGTTTTCAGTTTAAAGGGGGTCTCCGGCGTCAATTTGAGCGTTTTCAACTAAACATATTTTCTGAACAACCACGAAAAACTGAGCTTGGGGAGGACCCCCATTTTAGAGCTTGGATGGTACGCCCAACACATATGGTCTTTTTCAAAATTCATATTTAAATCTAGGAACTGGATTTCTCCAGACGCCATCTCATGGTGCATGAACGTCAGACCATGTGCGTTCCTGGCAAAGTCTTCTATCACACTCGTGATACTCTTTTCGTTCCAAAGCTGATTAGGGGGAAGGAGAACAAGAAAATCATCCACATACAAAAGATATTTATGATGCCTATTTAACATATTTTCTGCCTGAATGTGACAGGCAAATCAGCTATGAGTTAGTAAACATGTTCTTGTTCCCTCTTCTCAGGTTTTGGACGAAGGGAGTATCACAAGTGTGGTGGAAGTCTTTGCGAGGAACGCGCAGGGTCTGACCTTCACGCACCAGGAGATGGCATCTGGAGAACTCCAGTTCCTAGATTTAAATATAAATACTGAGAAATACCATGTGTGTTGGGGATACCATCCAAGGTCTATAACGGGGTTTGTCACCTTGAACTCAACCCACTCAAAGTTAGTAAAAAGAAATAGCATATTTCCTCTTGCTAGTCGCTCTAAAA